GCAGACTAGAGTATTTCAATGAATAGGGAAACATAACGTCACGAATTGCCAAAGCTTATTTATACTGACGTCATAGTGACTATAGTTGGAGATAAGTTCTTTTCTATTTCACATTGATGACAAATATATAGCACCCTTGATTTTGGAATGAATGGAAGTCATTATACACCATAATTTGTAGTAAAAGACTTATAAGAATATTTCTTGCTAAATAGAATTATTTAATTAATTATTTATTGGAATACAATCTATTATTCGACGCGTGGCACCAGCTGACGCACTGGTCGATTAGACGCCTACCGATGGTATACCAATAATGAATTCCCCACAGTGCCACATTGGATTTTAACCACTTTTATCGGAAGAGCGGCTCGATTTACAACTGGTGCAGTATACTTGTTTGGCGATGCAGTACAGTTGCTCAGTGGTGTAGTATAGCTGTTTGGCGGTGTAGTATAGTTGTTCAGAAGTGTAGAATAGTTGTTTGGCGGTGTAGTATAGTTGTTCAGGAGTGCAGTATACTTCTTTGGCGGTGCAGTATAGTTGTTCAAAAGTGCAGTATAGTTGGATTTTAACCATTTTTATCTGAAGAGCGGCTCGATTTACAACTGGTGCAGTATACTTGTTTGGCGATGCAGTACGGTTGCTCAGTGGTGTAGTATAGCTGTTTGGCGGTGTAGTATAGTTGTTCAGAAGTGTAGTATAGTTGTTTAGCGGTGCAGTATAGTTGTTCGGAGGTGCAGTATGGTTGTCCAGAAGTGTAGTATAGTTGTTCGGCGGTGCAGTATAGTTGTTCAGAAGTGTGGTATAGTTGTTTAGCAGTGCAGTATAGTTGTTCGGCGGTGTAGTATGGATGTCCAGAAGTGTAGTATAGTTATTTAGCGGTGCAGTATAGTTGTTCGGCGCTGTAGTATGGTTGTCTAGCGATGTAGTTGGTCGACAACTCTGAAGCTGCACTTGAAAGTAGTCTCGATTCCAATGTTTCGAATGTGCCCATGCAACCCTGTCAACGTCACCTGGCACAATAATATTACAAATTTAAAATAAATATTCGCTCTCTTACGTCATACATAAACCTCACAAACAACGTGAAGAATTGGTACTTGCCTACATTCTGTCCCATATTTTACAACCGATAACCCTAATGGCAGCGTCCTCCTTAACTACGTGCACATTTAATGCTAATTAGGAAATAGAAGACCGTGTTTCTCATTAGTGTGTGATAACAGGGCAAGGATGGGATGTGCACAATAATGAACGAGACGCATTCGAGCGCATTATTTGAACGAATGTCCCGTCCGATCCTTGTTATTTAAACAATAATAAATCTCCCACGTCGTCTTATTGGATGAGGAGAATGGTCCATAGCAAAATGATGTGTAAAATAATTTGCGAAACCGAAAACATTGTCGCGTCTAGACCCTTCTCAACCAATATGACGATGAGGGGGCGGGGGTCATTAATGTTGTTATAAATCATCACCATCAGAATCACATTTTTGTGGAAATGAATTTACTTGCAAATAGAGGCTTAAATTATCGTGTGGCAATATCAATCTGTGACGTCATAAAAACCTCAAATTTTGATAGTGGTGATTTTAATACGCAATAATGAGCACTGTTGAGTCCTATATTTAAATTATAATACATAGAAATGTTGCAAATTGCGTGCAGTGGTACCTTGAGAATGAATAAATCGACAATGTGGTAAGCGTAGAACGTTCATCAGTAAACGGCTGGTAATGAGACGAAAGCCCAGATAACATGGCTGCACCTATCGACCAATCAGAACGCGGCGTTTCATTAATGGCTCGCTCACGGTATTGTAGGCGCTGATAACTCATACACCTACAATTTAGTATGGAGATACACTAAAATAGCGTGCATCGGTGAAGACCAAATCGGAGGATAAAATAATCTATTTACTAACTTCTAAAGTTATGCATAAAGACGGTACCTAGGCAAATATATGTCCATAAAATTGCAAAGAAAAGAAAGCAAATTGCATCGGGAGGACAGAGAGACGCCCCACCAGCGAAAAATAATAGTGCACCCATATAATATCATTCTCTACAAACATTCAATGCTAAATGTGATTCCATATTATTGAGATTGAGTCTAAATTATGTATCCGTTCATTTTTTTTGTCCTTGCATTGGCCAAGGAAAAATATTACACTGCATATCGCGATCAACTAAAAATAGCTATGTATATTTGTATTGACACAAATCGTGATATTTTCATACATGTGACATTTAAAGCGGATGGGGTCATCACCTGCGCATGCGCGGGAATTGAGTCCCAAGCAACGATAACAACGAACGCTAAAACGCAAAGGCTCACTGTTAGGCGTTTGTTAATAAACAACGACACACCATGGCCGTTTGCCACATGCGTGGGACGACTCCCCCTAATATGTCGAGCTTTCAACGAGATGTGACAGTGAAAATTACTCCTCCATGGAAATTACAAGTATTAGATGTGAAAATTACATGTGACAATGGAAATTACATGTATTGCCATGTAATCACTAGAAACACGACTTAACATCGATTCGATGTTCCTTAATGTCACGAAATAGTACAAAGTCAATGAAGATATCACTTGGCTTCGAATAAAATTTGGTATTAGGTCTTCCAATCTGGAGTGAGAATGTTTTACCTTGGTACGCAGCACAATGCCTCTCTCGGTGATTGCTTTGAATTATCTATATATATGCATTATAGGGTCTCCGAGACTACAATAACATCTATTTGTGGTGTTTGGATGTTTTTATTACTAATGCAAATGTATTCTTACATTAATTCATCTGAGCAAGGTTTAACGGAACCAAGAAGTAACTCTTCATTTGCAAGGACGAATGATATACTTTATGCTATCTCGAATAATGGACATTAATTACGTAGGCGGTAAATTAAATTTAACGGCTCGCAATGTTATCCATCGTTCATTGACCAGAGTGACCGATTTAAAGAGCAATCCGATAGACATCTTTATTATTTTTTGAAGTACTCATTTAATTATTGTCCACAAGACTACATTGTAGTGCGCAATAGATAAACTCAAATCAACAGGTAGTTATCGGCAACTCACTCTGCAATACAGCGGGGGCATCTACGTTGGAAGTGTTGCATCATCCATATATAGCGTTACTATGACCTCCCAATTCGTCTATTCACTGAGTAACGCCTTAAGTATTATTACAGTACGAATATAAACAATATAAAATATATATTTACTTCTTGTCAAATTTAAAGCCGAAATAATTTCGATAATAGTTTGAGCTGATCACCCAATATAAAGACGCTAAACAAACTTAACGAAATGATATAATTCTTTGAATCAATTTCCAAACACCTTCTCTGTTTAAAGGAAATCAAAGCTGACATACACGAATAAAAGGGGCATATCTTTGAAAAATTAAAACAGATTTTCAATCTTTGTTGATGGTGAGATTTTTTAAACTCTTAATCAACACATCAAAGTGTGACCTGCCCTGCTTTAGTAAACCACTTAATAATAGTATTACTGACCCCTGCACAGTATCCAATTAATGATTTCTCCTTGGACTAATGACCTTCGTGTACGTTGCGTCCGGTCTCGCGTTAAGATAATAATGCATAATCAGAATATATCGTTCACGTCCAACAGCCGGAGTACGATTAGTAAAACAAGTTCGCAAAGCTGGAAACAAAATTTACTATAGTGATTCTCATTCATGCTAAGGAAACGGGAACCAATAATGAATCTCGTCAATTTTGGAGGCTGTAATATTTTTGACAACCTCGTAAATAACATAAAAATTATATTGATTTGGGGAAAGTGTGTCTGAATAAAGTTATCACAATACAGGGCGAAAATGGTATATTTCACTACATTTTCCGCTCACCGAGGTTGTTCGTCTAAAATCGATGTATCTGGTAATGATATATGATGTATTCGGGTTGTTGGCACAATCAGTGACAGACTTCTACTTGTCGGTCATACATGCACTTATATCATAATTGCTACACAAACATTGACTCAATCTGGTAACCATAGGACAATCTAATAGCTTGTAGTATATCAGTCTTAGCATCTTTGCTTGCCGATGCATGTCAGAGGTCCTAGTACACAATGTGTAGGTCGACAGTCATCCAACCTATATCGTGTCACGATATTATATATTCGTGTTTTACACTCACTGACGTGTCACGCTATATAACACATTGTTGTCGTGTAGAAAATAACAATTAATAATCAGTGCGTCAAAATGGTGAGATCAAAATAAAACATCGCGACATCTGTTCCCAATCACGCTTACAACACGTGACTCAATATGAATATTCATTAACCAATACTACACGATAACAAAAATAATAACTATAACAATCTTTGCAGTGCCGAATAAATTTTGTTACGAATTTTGAAATCTCTATGTGAATGTTTGGCAAGGCGATGGTAAGATAGGGTGTAACTTGAACCCTCAACAACAACAGCGACACAACTAGAGAACTGATGAAGACTGTTCAACACTACATTTAGAACATACAACGATTTGACAAAAGTAGACAGTCCAACATTCTTAATGGAAATTCTGTACGAATATGTTGAATTAAGAACCCTTTCGGAGACCATGCCATGAAGACAGACAAGTTCAAAATAAACTGATGTAGTGTGTCAAACAACAAATAACGCGAAGTGATCAACATGTTGATTAGGCCTTGTATTGTATCCGTATTTTATCGTCAGCGTCATGTATGTCCTTCAGTCAAAATTTTTAGCATTTTTGGGGTTGAGTGACAAACTGATGTGTGTTTATTTAACGAAAACACAGGATCAAGGACCTATTCACAGTTGACTGGCTGTGTGGCTCAAAAGCTGAACTAAGGTCACATTGTCAGTGAGGTCTTTGCATAGATAAGCAATGGCTTATCTGATATCCCAAGATGCACGGCGGCTATATAAGATTGAAGATTATATAGCAGTAAAGCATTAAATGAGCGGTTCACAAGTGACGAACATATCGTAAGGCACTTGAACAGCGCATTTTTTCTCAAATCATGGATAAACCCATTGAAGACCCAGACTATGTTGTAGCAGACCCGGGCATCGAACTGAACCGTGGTTCTGATATACTTAAAGATGAGAAGGACAGTAAGGGAAAAAACAAGGAAACTGAAAAACCTGGAAAAGATACTCCGGAGAAGTCAAAATCGGTCACCGTCGAGATAACTGTTACGGGCGATAAGGATGATGACAAGAAAAAGGACGACGTGCCTACCATTACGGTATCCGAGCCAACAACCGCACCCAAGAAGGTTGAGCCACCTAAGAAGCAAGAGGAAAAAAAGGTAGGAGACAGCAAAGAGAAAGACAAGTTGGGAGGCAGCAAAAATGAGCCAAACGGTCCACAGCTTGGTCCACCATCAGTCAATGATAACGGCAGAAGAGACAGTGACGCAAGTACGGGAAGTAGTAAGGTTCCATTGGGAATTCTAGCAAACGACAGAATAAGAAGTGCATCTCGTGTCTCGCAACTATCATGGGCTGTCCCAAGAAATCGTACCCTAACAGGACTCTCTGACGTTCCTCAAAGGGACCGTGCGTTTTCCAAACTATCGGCGTATTCGCAAGACACGGACACGGCGATAATCGGTCCGTTTGGACACAATACAATTGAGGCCATTCCAAGCGAAAAGAACTACGTCGATTTATGGTCTATCGAGTTTGGAGACGTGGTCGAAGATGCCGATCGACCTACTTTGCGACAACTACACGAAACCAAGGTAGGACATTTTTGAAATTATATATTTGTGCCACTGGATATGTACACATCATCACAAAAAAGCAAATACGACGAGTTTATTTTCTTAAAATTTACTCCTATATCTACACGTACAGCAGCATCCCTTCTTCAAAAACTTTGTTTACAGAGAGTCATAAAAATGTTCGCAAACTACTGCCAAATGTTTCGAGTCAATAATTTGCACACGTCGTCTCGTTAGTTAGTCTCTAACTTCATCTAACATTCTCAAGTTTATTTAGATTCGAAATAGAACAAGACGAAAGTAGTGTGGCTTTAGTCTGCAAATGTTTACATTGTCACATTACTTTGTCGTTTGTCTTTCGTACTTAATTTATTTGTTTATGTTGGCCTAATTGGCCCGTGATAGTCTAATCATTATTGAATAGTAAGTAAGTGTGCCTGAAATTAAGCGGAGCGGTATATATATATATTGACTGCTCACAGATAACTCTGCCCGATTATCCCTACACAATAAATACAGTGTTGTTATGTATTCAACTACCACAAGTTATAGTGTACATGAAGTGAAATGCCCTTATTAAACACGAATGTTCGAGATACAAACAACATTGCAACATGAACGTATTTATTTAAGGAACTATTTAATACAGTTGCCACGTACATAGAGTCCGTATATTTTCACGCGAAATGTTCGTAGAACATTTAAAAAAGGCGATATTGTTTGATTGTATGGTTGGTAAGCGAGCTCTGGCCATCAGTCACCGTAAACTGCATTATAGTGCGACGTCACATGTTGAAAAGAACCCGGTTTGGTCTTGCAATACGTATTTTTGCGCTGTCCCACTTTCTTATCGAAATTCAAAAGCGGCCTATGTGATTGACATTTACTGGTACGCACTATTAATTGAAATTTAATGCGCAGTTGATCAATGTGCTATGTACTGCACAGATACTGTGTTTACTTGATGATAAATCGACTGAGAGGTAAATCTCAACCTGTAATACCTTGAACAGTAAATAATCCACGCAATACTGAGGAGGGTCATTTCCCAAAACGTCTGATTATATTGAACAACTTTAATATTTCCCAAGGACTGCGATTACCTACTACCAGTGTATATGTATCATTTTTATCTATCCTAGCAGCTTTCTTCATTTTTTGATATTGGTTTATTGAGATATTACTGGCTACCGTGGACGAGTCACGTGATATGCCAATTATAAAACAAATAGTGTGCATGGTAATACAATGTTATCATGGTAACTATCAATTCCATCGAACTATCTCCGACCCCAATATATATAAGCTACACACAGTAGTCACAGTGACATTTCACTCACTCGCCTTTCTAACGGAATTGGTGATTTATTAACAACTAATCACAATCGGCACACCATCAAATATATTTTAAGACACTAATTGGCCAACTTAAAGTTGTCGTGATTGTTACGGAACGTTACACAGACATGCCACGTTTAACTGACCGGGGAGAATTTATCTGTAGATCGAATCAGCAAATTGGGTCGAACATTTCGTACCAGTCGTTCTGATTGTGCACAGTCACTCTACAACCTGGCTTGGTCTGATTTATGTGCACGGGGATAACAATCAGTATTGCAACACCAATCACCGCTCTCTATATACGAACAAATTAGAGTTGGATCGACGGATGTGAAATAATTAAATAAAAAAAATATAGGCATTGGGATATGTGAAATAACTATTATAGACTGGTAAATTCGCATGGATAGAGGTTGAATTTAATCTTTGAAACCAGGGATATATTATTTTCATTATATTTTAAATGGCTGGCTTTTTGTTCTTATTTATTATCTGTAGTGCATTTACTTCAAAATCTAGATAAGAATAGAAACATAATAAAGATTATTATTATACATCTATCACCGTAACGCCATAAGTCACAGCGTGCCGTAATTTTGCGGTATTTTATGATTACGCGCGTAAGCGTCCTATAATAATAAACACAAACATGGCTGCCGCCAGGGTTTGACAGACTCCACACAAAGGACTTCGCTGATTATGTTCTAAACTTTTTGGATTTCGGCATTCCCAAGATGTATCCTTGGAAGGAAAGATGTATAATAATAATGCTATTACGAGGATACATCAAAGTACTATAGTATGCACTCAGACAGTACGCCGTCACATCGATGTTCGCTGCGCGTCGGTCGATACTCCTGCTGTACTGTCTTCGATGATCAATTTTATAAATGCAATTATTTGATGAACAGTACAGGTGAAAAAAAAATACAGCAAACTACTAATACGCATGTGCAGTGATTGTTAGTACGTACAAAATAACCAGTGTACATGCGTATTAGATAATGTCATTGTTTTATCAACGAATACTCAAATGTATACTACAAGAACTGTGTTGTAGTCATCAAACAGCAATATTAAAAGTTATATGTTTACCTGCATATTGTATTTTTAAATCACATCAGTTAGCACGTCGTGTACAAAAAAGTGCATTTTATACGCACATCGAACACAGACCACCGCTCTTTAAATAATTGCTGACCCCCTACCACACATACGCAGGCAAATTTGCATTGTGTGTATACTTTTTCTCTGTGGATATAAATGGAAATGACGCACCAATATTGAAAGACTCACTGTTGACAAAATCAACAGACATGACATGGCGGTAACCAAATAGAATACAAGCACGTGCTTATCTCGGACGACAACGAGTCACATGCCTAGATAAAATTCAATTATTCGATGTAAAGAAAGTTTAATTTTACAAATAATTAAATATGTAATTAGTAAGTCACAAAACAACTTAAATAGAAAAAAATGCGTAATACAATGATGTAAAAACATCATTATTGTTTTACGCCGACGTATCTTACCATTTGGCGTGTGATGTTAACACAGAAGTCAAACTGTGAAATACACGTTAAACGTTATCTCTGGAATAGTATGCAAACTCCGCATTGTGTGTGGAGAGATGCATTATGGGTAGATACCGAAACATGTCACGATAGCGCGAATAGCATTGAGTATATGTGTGTGTGTGAGAGAGAGAGAGGGGTGGTGGTATCAAAGCTTGAGCGCGAACTTCACATAAAATGCAGGGTCGGATAGTATATTTACTACTACGAAATTAATCGTTGTATTTATTGTTATACAATGTACTCTGCCCTAATTATTTTCTCTTTACAGGGTCGCGATATAATTCGATATTTACGCTCAATTTAATTTTCCATAATCAATTCGGAAATATTAATTTCCTTGCAATCACTTTCATTACGTCCGGGAAATGTTGTAATGTGGCCCAAGACTAGTAGGGAATGGGTAGTACACTGCACGTATTACCATGCACTGTACATGTATTTACCATGCCGTATATTAATTTCTGGTACTGCATGCAGGCTTTTAATTTAACGTAGTCGGAAAGAAAAAAAGAATAGCGAGAAAATAAATACGGTAAAGTAATAACTTAAGCACGCGCTATTTACAATTCTAGGAAGTCCCGGATGTTTTTTCTACAAAATAGTTAATAAAGTTACGCCCTGAAACATTGATTCATGTACGCACCAATTATAAACCGTAGTCTCGTTGATCAAACTGATAACCCATTTACAATAATAAGTAACCCACTGAATTAATAACAATGTTACCATTTTTGTTATTCGTTGATTAAACTTCTAGTAAACACAGTAAGCTATTGTAAGGAAGATGTCAGCAATTCTTTAATATACTTATTGGGATGTTGCAGCTTAGCGCCACCTGTCATCGGGGCGGAGAGAGTCCACGGAGATAAACATGTTTACTGCGATTGACCATGGATTGTCGTAGAGCAATTATCTATTAGTTGTAGCTATTGCATGATCCGATCACGTGATAATCCGATCCGATCACGTGTTTTACTGACAAATTATGAGAATGATATGTTTTGTTTACTGAGATTTGTTGATTTCATACAACATTTATTTACACTCAGTCATGTCCGTGTAAAACGCCATTGTCATGGAAACTTGATTCCATGACAATAATATACAACGCGTTTTTTCAATGGATCTTTTATGGTGACTTATTTAAACTAGTCTTCTATGATGTGCCATGCTGGAGCCAATTCAAAGATACGCAAACAAAAAATGTTATTATATAGAAGTCTGTAATACTTCCACTACAAATTGCGACCACATTTGGCACGAACCAATAGGACTGGCACTCGTGAAGTCTCCGCCTTATTAGCCAGAGTGGCAGTTGCAAGTGTTCCGAGTGATCTAGGACATCGTCACTAAACTTCCAACTCGCTCAAATTGAGCTAATCAAGACTTAGGCTTATGTGGC